CACAAAAAAAAGATTAAAATTTACAGAAATGGTAAATGTCATAGGTTGATAATAAAACATTTATTTCTGTTTGAAGTCATTTCACAAAAAAAAGATTAAAATTTACAGAAATGGTAAATGTCATAGGTTGATAATAAAACATTTATTTCTGTTTGAAGTCATTTCACTGGTCTAAAACTGTTCGTGAACATTTTATAAAATTTCCTTCTTCGTCAGTTTTTGGTTTTGAGCGTAAAAAAGGCACACGACGCGCTGTTCAGTAATCAAACCTCGAATGTTAGTTTTATAAGCCCTCCAATTTACCCCTGAGCTACCGAGAGGGGGTGTGTGTGTGCTTATTTTTAAATCATTATGTGATAATCAAGGTAAATCTTGAAGAAGAAGCGAGGGACAAATTGACCAAAATATGACATGATCACAAATGAACAAAAGGGACGTTGTTTACTGTATTCGTAATTTAGGGTAAAACAAAATAGTGATGTAATTTCACAGAATAAATTTATTACACTTCTATAGGATTGGTAATAAATAACACATAATTGTATCTCATGTACTTAAAACAAAGAAATACTATAGGCTTTCTTTTTCAGTTCACTTTTTGTATTGTTTTTTTCGATGTGCTACACGTGGCAATCAATATATCATTTTAATTGTTGCAACAATAATCCCGAGAACTTGTTTGAACGATTTCCAATGCGTATGAATTACTAAAGGTAATAGTGAAATATTATGAAGAATTTAAATTAAACGGTATGCCTTGTTACGAGTCATTTCATTAATTTTGAACCCTTAAAAATACGACGGTTTAGTTTTTTTTATTGAATTTCAGAGGGAGAAAAACATTTATGGGCATATGTGGGTATATCATTAACTACTGATCTCAAATTTATACAAACGTACTTTACTAACTGAGATGGAAATAATTATGCTATATTAACGTTCCTTTCAGATTGTGGGCATATGTGGGCTTATATGTGTGGAGTCTACAAGTTACTGCTTCTACGCCTATGAGAGTAGGTACAAGTTCTGTGAGTTTGTGTTTACAACGTCGTTTATCTTCGCCCTTATCATATTAGTCATATTTGTGCTTCAGTTCCAAGAGACGTTGGCCAAATGTATGAATGTCCCTCTAACGGTAAGCTCGCTTTTCTCACTTTGATATCAAAATGTTAAAAAGATAAAGTAAGAACATGATCAAATTTCTTTGTTTGTTTTTGAATTTCGCGCAAATCTACACGAGGGCTTTTTGCGCTAGCCGTTCCTAATTTAGCAGTGTAAGACTAGAGGGAAGGCAGCTAGTCATCACCACCCACCGCCAACTCTTGGGCTACTCTTTTACAACCATGATCAAATATTTGTTTGATTGTAACGCTGTGCTAACCGTTTCTAATTTAGAAGTGACAGATTAGAGTGAAGGTGGCTAGTCAACACTACCCACCGCTAAGTCATGGGTTACTCTTTATCTTCGAATAAGGGGATTTATAATCAAATTATAACCTCCTCAGCTGAAAGGGCGAGCGTGTACGGTGACGGAATTCGAGCCTTTGATCCACAGGTTGTCAGTCGAGTGTCCTAGCCACTAGGTCATAACAGACCCATGACGCTGTGGTAGTATAAAGTTCAAGTGGTAGAACACTCGCCTGGTGTGCGAGAAGTCTCGGGTTCGAATCGAGGCTAGGAAATAATAAAATTGAATTTACCCCAAACCCCAAGAACATGTAATTCTTTCAAAACTCGCCACATTTTGACCACAGAAGGTTATTTACTCTAATTCTGTTTCTATGAAACAAACAACTGGCTGGCCACAGCAGGTTATTTCTTTTAATCATGGTTTCTGTAGAACAAACACATGACTGGCCACAGAAGGTTATTTTACCCTAATTCTGGTTTCTGTGAAACAAACACCTGGCTGGCCACAGAAGGTTATTTTACTCTAATTCTGGTTTCTGTGAAACAAACACCTGGCTGGCCACAGAAGGTTATTTTACTCTAATTCTGGTTTCTGTGAAACAAACACCTGGCTGGCCACAGGTTATTTTACTCTAAAATTCTGGTTTCTGTGAAACAAACACCTGGCTGGCCACAGAAGGTTATTTTTCTCAGGCGGTGGGTAGTGTTGAATAGCTGTATTCCTTTTAGTCTATCACTTCAAAATTAGGGACGGCTAGCACAGATAGCCCTCGAGTAAACAAACAAACAAAATTACATCATTCTCATGCCATCCAGAAACACTGACTTAATTATTATTAACACAGCGTCTATCCACAAATACTATATAAATCTGGACTTGTAACAAATATTCAGAGACTTGCATGCTGTAAGCATTTTCTATACACACATATATTCAGTTCTAAAGTAGTCATATCTTATATTCTCGTGCCCCTCCAGTGGCACAGCGGTATGTCTGAGGACTTATACTGCTAGAAACCGGGTTTCGATACCCGAGGTGGATAGCCCTCAGTGTAGATTTATGCTTAATAATAACAAAATATTCATTCTTTAACTTGAAATAGAACTTTATGCGACTACCGAATTCCCAGTTATTCAGAATTTTATCATAACGTGTTTTTTTCTTTCTTTCTTTCATTACTTTTGCTGAAGCTCCTGATAAACGACTGTGTCACCGCTCTATTCTACCCGATAGCAGCTATCTTGGCCTTCGCCGCTTATTGTCACTACTCGCCGTACAATGCAGCAACAAAGGCAGCAGGGGTAAGTTAAAGCAATTAGCTTTTTATTTTCAAAAGTTTGTTTCGCGCAAAGCTACACAAAGGGTGTCATAAAAACAAAGTGAATTACTCTGTTAAAAGTAAATACAAAATATTAGTGCATTGTACAGTTAATTTATTTTCGTATTTTCTGAAATAATGTATTTCGCTAATGATGAAGTGGCCATTTCGCTACACCACCCATTGTTCGCGACCCTTGTACGTCTATTGTTGCCCTGTCCATTGCCATAAGTATTTCTAGCACTGCATATGAGTTTAAATCATACGTTAAGCAGTGCTAGCTTTACAGTGACAGTAATTATTCCAGTACTACACTTCCATATATGATACTACTTATACAGCATTTTACAGTTAGTTTTCCATTCAGTTATGTGCTCTAGGTGAAAGATGTTGTGAACACGATCCTTGTGTTGCTTTTATCGTATTCACAGTTGCGGAGGTTCCCACTTTAACTGCAATAACCTTCTCTGCTCTTGAGCCCTTAACTGATGTTATTTTTTTTAAACTGAATTCACGCCTTCCCTGGTTTTAGCGATATCGTTCTCAAACCTCGTGTCTAGCAAGTGATTTCATGATCGCAAAATAGAAGCATAATATTATCATATTTAAGATCACCACATTTCGACTGGTTTGCAACAAGAGGATTGGTTAGGTCTTCTAACTTGTTTAGTGTGCAGTGGCAAATCATGAGGATGGCCAGTAGAAGTTGACTAGATGCGTACATTGTAACCATAGATCACAAGGATGGCCAGCAAAAGGTGACTGGATGTGTACATTGTAACCATAGATCATGAGGATGGCCAGCAAAAGGTGACTGGATGTGTACATTGTTACATGATCTATGGTAACAATGTACACATCCAGTCACCTTTTGCTGGCCATCCTCATGATCTATGGAACATGGCCCGCAAAAGGTGACTGGATGTGTACATTGTTACCATAGGTTATGAAGATGGACAGCAAAAGGTGACTGGATGTGTACGTTGTTACCATAGATCATGAACAACCTGCCGTATACTCAATACAGTGAAAGGAAATCACAGTTAATAATTGGAATGAGTAGAACAGTTAAACATTATAAAAACCATTCACAAACATTCATTAAATACGAAATATTTATTGGTGTTTGATATGAGATGGACAGATTGTTCTTTTTAATTGTTTGTTTATTTTGATTACTCGAAAGTTTACTAAATCAGATTGTGGCTACTAAACTATAAACACAGTTTATTTTGATTACTCGAAAGTTTACTAAATCAGATTGTGGCTACTAAACTATAAACATAGTTTATTTTGATTACTCGAAAGTTTACTAAATCAGATTGTGGCTACTAAACTCTAAACACAGAGAAACTGGTTGCACAAACTAAATCAGATTGTGGCTACTAAACTCTAAACACAGAGAAACTGGTTGCACAAACTAAATCAGATTGTGGCTACTAAACTATAAACACAGAAAAACTGGTTGCACAAACTAAATCAGATTGTGGCTACTAAACTATAAACACAGAGAAAGTGGTTGTACAAATATTTGTAATTACACATTCACATCAATAATTCACAAATAATCCTATCTATAAGTTAAACTATAAAAAGTTAAAGAAATAAGTACAATTATGCATTGCGTTTAATTACTTGAACTTTACATTGTGTTCTAAAAAAGTTTCCTCGTTGTTTGCTTGTGATACACAGGTTTACAATATTAAGAACACAGAGTGCTAATGAGATTATTCAATCTTAAACAATAAATATCAGTGCTGGAGCTCTGCCTAGGCAATGTTCGGTATTTATGACTGTCGAAGCAGGAAAACAGTATGTCTGCACAAGATGATGATTGGAGCAAAACTAATGACATATCGCATATCCCCGCTTGCCTGATGAGCCCTGGTATTGAACGAAAGGCCTCGTCGGCCGTGGAAATGGCAGATGTCGTGTGTTTGACATATTATAACATATTCGTCTTTGATTTTACTCATAAGAAGAAAACGAAAAATGAAAATACTTCTGTCTCTTTCATAAAATCTGTTGAACCAAGTAAATTTATTTGCCTCAGGCCATACCTCAACATTATTATCAGTAAGTTCTTATTGAACACAAAGCCATTTTCTGTTCATTACCTTCTTTGAAATCTCATCTCTATCCATTACGTTGCTCTAATACTGACCTCAAGTCTGACATCCTAGGGATATACATACAAAACATTATATAATAAAGTGACACAAATTGCCTGTATTTATAAAAGCGCCCTAAATCTTCATCTTTGATTCTGATATGTTATTGAAATCTATCCGATAATATATATATATATATTGGCTTTTGCTACGTTTAAATACGGTTCAAAAAAGTTCAAACCATTAAGAGCAAGCAATTCAATCAGCGGTAGGTTTAATTATCGTTTATAAGCTCAAGTCTATTAATAAACTTGGACAGAAGACGAATGTTTTACTGCATGTGAATAGCGAGATCCACATAACTGTTTCCTGCCTTTGGTTCTTCAAAGTTACTGACTTACTCTTAGATCATGGGATTCAGGAGGGGACAGTTGCCTTCGAGAATC